CGATCATAGCGCACTTTATCCGCCTTTGCCATTTCATCAAATTTAGATTTCTCTTTCCCGGACATTGTCTTCCACCTCTCAGAGCATTTCTTGGAAAATTCTGCAAAATTGACAGGGACCTCTGGGTTTTTCTTCTTATGTTCTTCTCTGCACGTCTGCACAAAGAAGGCATAAGCAGACATCTTGCCCTTTGGTTTCTTGGGGTCACCTTTAGCCATCCTGACTGTATTGTTCGCTAGTCTCAGTAATTGTCTTCTTTACTGCCTTCTGTAATCCACTGAAGTTGATTTAAGATTTTCCTTTAGCTCTGACCTTCCTTCAGACTTCCTTGCATTTCTAGCTACTACTAGCTGGGTACCTTGATTTGACCAGTGTGTCCAGACCAACTAGTTTCTGGTTTATTTCTCTCTCTCTCTCTCTCTCTTTTTTTTTTTTTTTTTTTTTCCTGAGACAGAGTCTTGCTCTGTCCCTCAGGCTAGAGTGCAGTGGCACGATCTCGGTTCACTGCAACCTCCGCCTACTGGGTTCGAACGATTCTGCCTTAGCCTCCTGAGTAGCTGGGATTACAGGTGAGCGCCACCATGCTTGACTAATTTTTGTATTTTTAGTAGAGACACTTTCACTGCGTTGGCCAGGCTGGTCTTGAACTCCTGACCTGCCTCAGCCTCCAAAGTGCTGCGATTACAGACATGAGTCACCACACCCGTCCCATATCTGATTTATTTCTGCCTTTTTTGGTATTCTCTATTTTTTTGTAAATGTCACCGGCTTTTCTCAGGATTTTCCTCCTGAAATATTTACAGTGGCCTCCTAATTTATCATTTTCTTTTTTTTGTGCCATATACTATTTTCCTGAAATTTTTCCTGAGGTACAGCTTTAGATATGTGTTTTCTGCCCTCAAAATCCATACTCCAAATTGCTTGAACCCGGGAGTGGGGAGGTTACCTTGAGCCAAGATTGCACCATTGCACTTCAGCCTGGGCAACAAGAGTGAAGCTCTGTCTCAAGAAAAAGAAAAATAAAAAATTAATACATACACCAGCTGGAGTTCACACCTGTAATTCCAGCACTTTGGGAAGCCAAACTGGGAGGATCACTGGAGGCCAGGAGTTTGAGCCTCCCCTAGGCAACATAGCAAGACCCTGTCTCTATAAGAAATAAAAAGTTAGTTGGATATGGTGATGCAGGCCTTTAGTCCTAAGTATTCAGGGGGCTGAGGCAGAGGGATCACTGGAGCCCAGGATTTTGAGACTGCAGTGAGCTATGATTGAACCATTGCACTTCATGCTGGGTGACAGAGTGAGACCCTGTCTCTAAAAATAAAAATCCAGTGCTGGGTGCGGTGGCTCAAGCCTGTAATCCCAGCACTTTGGGAGGCCGAGGCAGGTGGATCGCGAGGTCAAGAGATCGAGACCATCCTGGTCAACATGGTGAAACCCCGTCTCTAATAAAAATACAAAAAAAATTAGCTGGGCATGGTGGCACGTGCCTGTAATCCCAGCTACTCAGGAGGCTGAGGCAGGAGAATTGCCTGAACCCAGGAGACGGAGGTTGCGGTGAGCC